AATCACAGTTAAATTATTCTATAGGTGACACTTCAAATGTAGCATTCATTTTTGAATTACAGTGACACCCTTTTCAGGCAGGTGCTCGAACAGGGGGGCTTGGCTCACGGGTACTTTTTGCTGGCGTAAATGTTCGTGATAACGTGGAGGAGGGGTGTAGGGGCGTTATTCAGTGTGTGCTGTTTAACATGCTGGGTAATTCAAATCGAAATATTAAGCTGTATTGTTAAAGCTGCACTTACGCCATGCATATGAATCTATGTGAAATCAATTCCATTTTAATTCTCTTTCCTTACATTCAAAGTCAAATTGCGATTCTGCACCGTGTGTTCAACCGTATTATGAACTGAGTTTGATTTTCAAGGTCATTCTCAATCCAATTCTGAATGCTGCACAACCCTGTTATGTACTCAAATTGCATACAGGTGTTACAACAACGAGCCCCTTTCGCACTATTTTATAGTCTACATTACAGTTTTATATTGCAGTACTAACCTCTAATTATATCATGAGCATTTTTACGTTGACCAAAAAAGATCATCATTGTGTTTTTGTCATCTATTTTAGCCAGTCTCTGTGACAGGACAGCAAACAAAAATTCAAATAAAAACGACATAGAAAATAACGAGTGTGTTGGAGCACTTGTAAATGTACGAAAGAGATAATGAACCACTTTAGTTACGAAGGGTTTCTGGAAACGCAAGCTCATGAACGATCGATCTTAAGTACGAAATAACGAACTACTTAGCGTTACTAACCTTTCTGGAAAGTCAGCCCTGGTTGGTTGAAACAAAACCTTGTTCTGGATTTGTACTTTCTGGACCTGAATTTTCCACCTCTGTCTACCAACGACTGTGGTGTTGTCTGGTAATATCTGTTATTATTTATCGACATTAACAGGATTTATTGATTTCTTTTGTGAGTAACTTCCCCAGTACTGGTCTTAGGTAGGATATGTGCACTGGGCAATGCTTGAAAGTGGTCCAAGCAGGGCATTAATTTGAAGTTCAACGTAAGGCTTGGATGAGGTGCATTTTTAATTGACTTATAAGACTGGCTTTTCCTTATTGATCAGCAAGCCCCATGTGGTTTTGATGTGTGTGTGTGTGTGTGTGTGTGTGTGTGTGTATGTCTGTCTGCATGCCTTTCTGTGTGTACTTGGATTGTGAACCCAAGTTATCTGTGATCCAGTCCTGTATGAGCTGACTGACCTCCAAAGTGTGGTCAGTACACACGACCTCCTGCTCCCAGCATCCCTCACACCCCACCATCTGCTGAGACAATTTCTCCTGCCCCTCTGCCCTAATGTGACGACACCGCCCCCTGTTGGTGGCAATGGTTCTGCAGCAGAGACCCCAGAGTCTGATCTCACAGCACTTCCTGAGAGTGGTAAACATGTCAACAGCTCTAAACTACCTGGGGGTGGAACCTTTTCACTTGCATCCTTTTTTTCTTTGGTTGATTTAAGCAGCTGCAAACCTTAATCCACAAAAAGTATATGTAGTAAAACTTATTTGCTTAGCTAACTGTTATTTCCCAAGAATCTGACCCATCTGCAGTTCTAGATATTTTGACTATTATTTTTCCTAAGTAACCTTCATCTCCAAACCTTAAGGCGCTTTCCCTTAATCTCTATACTGTCTGCTAGCCTAGCGAGGGCATTTCCTGGGACTCAAACATGCAACCACCTGATCCATATGTTCAGGTTCTTAACCATCTGCTGCTGCTTCCTTTATTCCCACTTGTGGTGTCCCATCATATTTTCGACATGCTCAGTTCTGCTCTCCAATGGAGGCTGGCCTTTCATGCCTAACTCATTTCCTATTGCAGTCTTTGAGGGCTTTGTAGCGTTTAAGTGTCACCGTTTAATCTTTCAGCACGTTTCTGTGACAGCTACTGTATGGTGCCCCTCTCTGCACTCACCAGGGTGTTTCTGGGATCATGACCAGTCCTTCTGTGTCTGTCAGTGTTTTGCCGGTATATCTTTCTGTCTGTGGGTTTGTCTGTTTCTCTCTGTTTTTCTTTGTGTGTTTTTCTGCACTCATCAGTGTTTTCTTGTGGTTATCTAGATGTTTTCCTCTGTCTGTCATATCCTGCATGTGCTTGTGCCTCTGGCGGCGTGTTAGACAGCCTGATCTCTCTACAGGCCCCAGAGACCTGCTCTCAGATGCTCAGCAGCAGGACCTCGACGAGGAACGGGAACGGGGGGACCTGAACTTTTTGAAGGACCTGCTGAGTCCAGGTTCCATGGGCGCTGATGAGTTCAGCCGCGAATGGCAAGATGCCTTCGGCTCTTTTGAGATGACACCCAGTCAGAGCCTGGCCACCCCCAGTAGTGCTCCAGTAGTCTCCCACTCTCAGCCCTCCAGTCCGACTGGCTTCCTGCCTTCACAGCTGCTGGATCAGAGTCTCAGTTCCACAGGTGCGTCCATAAACCACACTGCCCCCTGGGGGTGGGAGTGGCTCATTGCTTCTTGGCATGTGAAGTCTTTCTTGGGACTCTGTATGTGCATTTTAAGGCGCTTCCATTATCGATGTCCTGTGTCTGAATTGTCAAGATATACAATTATCTCTCAGTAAAGCTCACTGTTGACAGTGTCCATTCTTATCACATATAAGGCACTGAGGACTTAATAATGCCACCCATTTGTTGATTTTAATTAGTATAATAAGAGTGGGGATGAATTAAGTTTTAGGTTTGTGAACATGTTAAATATGTCTTCACAATCTGAATATTCAATGCATTCATTGACCATGGGTGTGAAATGTCATTTCCCTAGGCTGGGCGACCCCACCCATGTTCCAGGCGCCGCCTTTGCAGCCCCCGCCGGCCGCTGGCCAGGCCTCCCCTTCCGAAAGTGTCGCCAAGCCGACGGCGAATGGCAAGTCCTGTTCTGGTTTGAGAACTGATGCCCAGTCTTCTGTGTTTCTGCAAAGTGTTTGAACAAAGAGTTCAAACTGTGCCATGGCATTCTTTGTGACATATGTGTGCCCATTTTCACATTCCTGCTGATAAAGACTGGTGCCATATACTGTATATCAAGAAATAAATACAATGAAATGTAACCCTCCTGACAAAAATCACTTTAGTTTGGAAGATCAGCTCTTCAAAATCCTGAAGAATTATAGTTAAAAATTGTTACCAATGAATTACCTACTTTAATTTGAGGAAATCCATGAATCTAGTTGGGTAATATATATCTACAAAATAAAAGACCTATTTTTCATCCTCACACTCCTCTCTGCCCTCTTCAGCCCCCAAGGTCTCCGGCCGTGACATGTCAGCCTGGTTCAACCTCTTCGCCGACCTGGACCCGCTCTCGAACCCGGATGCCATTGGCCGCAGAGATGAAGACCTGATGAATGCCTGAACGTAGGAGAGCTGGGAAAGTGTGTGTCTGGACAGCCCTCTGCTTCATACGCGCACGCACACACGCACACACACACACACACAAATCCCCTACCAATACAGCCAAGACAGGCTTTCCTAGATATTATGGAGAGCTAACCCCCTTGTCTGTTGTGCCCTTCTAACCTGAGAACCTGGCCACCAGAAAAGGCCAATTATGCAGCAATCAGGTTTAATACTAAATAATCTGTGTATAGGTTTTTGCAAAACACAAAGCTTTCCATTGTGTGGCCAAGCTTTAGGTTCCACGAACGTTTGGTGTGTGTATACCTCATCTGAGTGTTGTCCTTTGTGTATGGGTGGGGTTCCCTCCTGACACAGAGTGTACCTGCACCCGTCATTTTTATGCACTAAGGTATTGGACGAATACCTGTAAAAAAAAAAGTGACATTTTAAGTGCAGGTCTTTTTCCTTGTCAGAAAGACGGCAGTTCTGCTGGAAAGGCTGATTATGCTGAGCGTGTGCTGAATATGCCATCTGATGTCCCTCCGCTTTCCTGTCCGTTTAACAAACAGCGTATCTGGGTGAAATATTTTGCGTAGCTGTTTTTCACAGGGTAGATTTAATCTGCTGATAGCAGAAAAGCATTACAGCAGGTGGACGCATTGCAAAAAAGTGACAGAGATCAGTTTTTGTGCTACACTGCACAATATTTTACAGAACGTAATGTGAGAAAGTAATGTCTACCTACTGTCATATTTAATATTAAATGTATTACCACTGGGTATCTTGTGCTGAAACTTTAAGAAGCACAGATGGCCTGGGAGAATCTTTGCAGATGTGCTGAGCTGTGAACTGGAGGTGATGCTGTGCTGTGAAATGGTCACCGTCTACATGACAGGCGAACGTCTCGGGGATTTTTCTTTCTCCAGCAGATAAATAGCTTCTGTGAGTGAGGGAGGTGTTTGACTCTTTAAACTGGCTGTAGGCACAGGCTCTCGGGAGTACAGCTCGTGTTCCTTACTGCTGATTCCTCCAACGTTTTGGTGCTGTCACTTTAAAAACTTATTAAAATAGTCACTTTTTCAAAAGGCGTAATACTTCAATTATAAGGGTTTAAAATACCTATACGGTTTAATAAAGGTATATAAATATAGAAACACTAGTTTTTACTGAGATGTAAAGGATTCATATAAATGTTCTTCAGGCAAACATGATGCCAGACCTGTTAACCTTTAATAAATCATTAACTGTGATTGAGCAGCTGAAATATTTATTGAACACCAAGGTTTTTTTTCCTTTGTTCACACACAGAAAGGAATGTATGTCGATCACAGATGCTTTAATGACTTTGTCAGACATGCCTTTTATTAATTTAAAATATATTGTTGTTTGTTAAACTTTGTAAAAAGCAAAAATAGTTCTATTTGCAACTACTCTTTGCTAACAGCTGTAATTACTCATGGAATAATAAAAATGTTCATTTCCTTTGAGCTCATTTCATCACCCTTCGCTGTCTGGATGCCAGTTTTCTGATCCTAAGTGCTCAGTGGAAATAATGGCTGACAAGGAGCAGAAACCGCAAAACTCCATTAATCAACCCAAGTGCGATCAGACTGAGGCTTTCTTTGAATGAGTGACTGGAGATGGGTCCTTTTAAACAAATTCATTTTTAATATGTTTAATATGTTTACATCATACAGGCAGCCTTGGTTTATTTACACTCGATAGCAAGGATAAATACAAAATAGCTGGGGGAAAAAAGCTTGCAGTAGTCACAAACTATAACGATACAACAACCCATCCCATTTCTCCCAAGCGCGGTCTCTATTCGCTTCTTCACGTGCTTCACAACCGAGACTAGTCATCTGTACAGAGTAACTCTACCTGCTACCAGCTTCACGCCTACGACTCTTACTCACTCTGCCCAGCGCCACCTGCTGGAGGCCAAAACAAACGACGACATGTAAATGGACGTTAAAAACAGGCTGTTTGGTTTTTTTTTTTTTGTTTCATTTTTGAGTCCCAGGGCAAGACGCTATGTGAACACAATACAGTAACTATCTACTGAGAGAGTAAGTCGTCCCGCTAATATACTGTATAGACATATACATTTGGAAGAGAAAAAAAAAGTGTTTTTTTTTTTTTTTTTTTTTTTACATTCCTGAGTCCAGAACTACATGAGCAGTTGCAGTTGAAAACTGAACAAAAACAAAAACAGGCGGCTGTTAATGATCTGTTTTTAGGATGACACTAGATCCCAGATACCGAACTTGGACGCAAAACACGAAAAAGAGTTAAATTCAAGTAACTCCTATAGTACATGATGTTCATCATGACAGTAACGTCGCAGGCAATCAGCTGCCGCAGAGAAGCACAAGGCTCTCTGCGATGCTACTTCAGGCCGAGGTGTGCGTGAGCGAGGTGTGCGTGTTTACACGTGTGTGTGAGACAGAGCGGCCTCCCGGCGAAACACCTGAGAAGCTGCGCTGTTATAAAAGTATGGATGGCGACCACAGTATCGAACTGACAAGGATGCTGCCAGCGGACGCTCGGCTCCCCCGTGCTGCTGGTGTGGCTGCTAACTACTGGAACCCGGTAACCGGAGAGCTTGAGTCCAGCAGGCGCGCATCACTCACAGTGGCAAAGTCGAACAGTCACGTAGTACGAGTCCCGTGCGTTTCCCCACCATCACCGCTACCTGTCACGCATTTGTTACACTGGTGATGACTCTGCAGCCTCTTCCTGCCCCCTCGCCTATCCCCCATCGTAAATCACAAATCATGCTACAGTGGCCATGGCCTTGCTGGGTTTTGCAGGTTTTGTCCAGAGGTGGAAAGTTCAGGTCCAGAAAGTACAAATCCAGACCAAGATCTTGATTCAACCAACCAGCTGAGTACTCTGTGACCGTGATTCTATTTTCAATCGGTTGGTTGAAACAAAATCTTGGTCTGGACTTGTACTGTCTGGACCTGAACTCTCTGCCTCTGGTTTTGCCTCCCCCCCCAATACATCTGCGTGGCCTGACTGATGCTGCGGTCTTTGCTCTATGATTAGCCCAGGACTGGGCAGAAAATAACACCACCTGACTTTAATGGGTCAAAACGGGCCAATTACTGACAGCTGAAAGTGGTTACCTGTCCAGACAGGAACTATGAAATTTACTGCATGCTTCCCCCCTCCCCCCACGGCCATGGATATTTTCTGCTAAGCCGGGTTATACGCCTGCAGCCCACTAAGGTGCCTACACAGCACTCTGGACAGGAAATTAAACTGTGGCCACTACAGGACGACAGTGCAGTGCCCACATGATTACAGGGGTACATTTTCCTCGCTTTTACAAAAAGTCACATTATTTGTCAATTAGCACGTGATACACACGGAGTCTTTACACAACACAGGCAAATTGCTGTGAAGAGGGTAACAGCATTTCTGGGGTATTCAGTGATTTAACTCCGGCCTCCGCTGCTTCCTGCGTCCTTAGTACAACACGAGGTAACATTTCAGGGCAAATACAGAGAAGGCTGCAGGCGTGGGGGGTGGGGCAGGTCTGCTCAGCGGCTTGGGCTCTTTGGCCTTTGTGAGCATCACAATGCTGCAGCTGAAAGCATGTCTGCGGTTGTTTTTAGTGACAGACTTGACAGCCTTTGCTGGCTCACACAACAGGATTTTAAATCACATGAAAGGTGTCACTTTAATGGAAAACACACCAAATAAGTGAGTGTGAAGTCTGGCACGTTTGCCAGAGTTCGTCCGCAAGGGAAAAAATAGAGCTACAATCCACAGTCAGTGGATCTTTTAACAAATACGACCTTCAGATATGAGATGGTTTACATTGTTAACTGATTCATTAAGTCAAGCTTCACTTCTGTTCTTTCACTTAACAATGACTTTCAGCTGCAAAAACACCCCCCTGTGAATGCTGCCTAGTTTTACTTAGATGTCTCGTCTGCTACTAAAAGTCAAAGCACCATTTTTCAGGATTTTTCAGCTCATGTCAGCGTGATCAACAAGGCCATTATAATCTGGGATTCTTTGGTGTTGCTGGGACAGTGAATCTTCGGCCCAGCGGGGGAACCTTTGCTATGGAGCCCTGGATTCAGCCTGCTGCTGACTGCCACTCCCCGACGGGGACATTTCTGCTCACGCTTCACACTCTATGCACACAGACGAGAGTGGTGGAGTGGTGTGATTATAAACTGGAAGGACCTTCATCAACCTGGATTTTGTCTATATCTCAATTTTCTTGGTCTAAAAGATCAACCCTAAAAAAGACACAAGCTTCTTTCTTTAGCTACTTCTAAATGCAAGAAAAAAAATAATTAAAAAAGAAATATATATATATATATATATATATATATATGCACATTTGTGTCAAAAGCCTCCACAGCAGAATGTCACTCTGTTTCTCTTTTTTACTGGCTCTCAGGTTGCCATAACGACCAAGAACGACCAATAAAGTGTCAGCTTATCCACCAGTGGTAGCCATGTCACCGCTGCTCCCTCAATCACCCCTAAAGATGGGAACCCCCCCCCCCCATAACTGTTGTCTGCTTTTTGAGCGAAAAAATAAGGCCGCATAGCAGAAGCTGTTTTCCCTTCTTCTCTGGAAGGGGGAGAGAAGGTGGTTTTCAACAGGACTGTCGAAGTAGAAAACAAAACTTAGAAGTGGACTGAAGTGGAGAGACGCAGGACTTTAGCTCTCGGGCTCCTCCAGGTGGAAGGGGAGGCAGGGCTGCGGGGCGGAGGTGCAGGTGCCTCGGGACACCCTCTGCTCCTGCTCCAGGCCAAGCTGCAAGCCTAGCGAGGGCGACAGGCTGCGCATGGCCAAGGCGCCCGAGCTCTTGAAGGTCAGCTCCTGGGTGGGCAGCAGGGGCTTGAGGATGCTGACCAGGCAGAAGGCGGAGCCGCTCTTGGGGATGAAGTTGACCTTGTTCCTGTCAGGGCACAGGAACTGTGGGATGTCTCGGGGTAACCTGGGTCTGATGGCGAGGAGAGAGAGAGTGAGAACCTCCATCCATACCTGCCAGGCGTTCATCAGCAGTGCTGTAGCCAGCATGATGAGAGCCCTGGTGAGAATGACTGGCAAGCTGTAGCCGAGGCGGCACTCACAGTGTTTCCTCAAAGGCCTTGATCCGCTCGCAGCCCTCAGGAGGCTCCCGCTTGAACATGTAGCTGTTGTTGGGTCTCGGGGAGAAGGCGTATTTGGGCAGAGGGGAGCTGCCCTCGAGGTCTGAGAAGGGGCGAGACCACGTTTTCGGAGCTGCTTCCAAAGTAACACTCACCCCAGCAGTAATCACCAGGGTGTAGCTCTGCCCACCCCCACCCCCCCCATACCTTTGTGGGTACTGGCCCGGCCGTCGCTCAGGAGGTCCACGCTGGGGCAGGGACTACGGCCTCCAGTGTCGTTGGCCATGGCAAGGAAGGCCGGCGAGATGGACTGAGAGCGGCTGCTGCTGTTACTATGGTTACCGCCTCCGCCCCCTCCTCCGCCAGAAGGGGTCTGCGTGTCAATACTGCGAGTGCTACTGCTGCGCTGCACTACGGGTGGGGGAGCGCGGTGGCCATCTGGGATGTCCTGCGGCTGAAAAGTGGTGGGGGGAGGGGGCAGGTCACACACGATCATAGTGGGTGATGATGCTGGGAGGCTGGTGGGTTTATCTGCCACGCTGCGCTGTACTCACTACGAGCTGCTCATCACGCTCGCTGGAGTCCCGGATGATGATGCGCTCGATCTCCTGGTTGAGCCCCTCCATGCTGTTCCTGAAGCGGGACCCAGTCGATTTCGGCACCGGGATCAGAAAGGTCTTCGTCACCGGCGCCTGGGACAGGAAGACGGCAAGGCAGGGTGAACTGTGACGTCATACCCAGAGAGCAAAGGGTCCGACAGATGTGAAAATCCACTCTGGATGCTGCAGTTTGCGTCTGTGACAAAGGGGCTGGACATGAAGGTTACCTGACCAGAAGAAAGGCATTAAGCAGCAGGTTAATGATTGTTCACAAATGGCTGAGAAAAGCCTCCTGTGTGAATAACACAGCTTGCAGATAACAGCAAAGACTTCTTCCAAAACAAGGACCCTCAAATAAACAGAAAACACCTAAGACCTGTTGAAGCTCCACATGCAGACCTATATCTGATTAGGTTGCATGCCCAAGGCAGGGAAGTAATCCATACAGATCACAGGACCCCCCCCGGCTGATCCCAGGTCCCAGGACACTTTATCTCCTCAAACTCCAAGCTCAGCTGCAAGAGGCAGAACTTGAAGATGCAGGGTGGGAACCAGTGCTGTGTAGTAACATACAATCTGTTTCACGTAATCTGATTACAAAAATCAAGTATTTGTAATTAGAGTAAATTGCATTTAAAATCTGATTAGTTACTTATTTAAGGATTGCCACACCAACCCTCCTTGGAACAGGTTCCCCAGCCCTGCCATAACAGACTCAGTACATGGAAAAGATGACACAATGGAAATACTGCAATTGGAAATCTAATTTTAATAAATAAATCATACAAAAGTAAACTTTTTTTGTAGTAGGGCAAAATGCTGACAGTATGGTTTGTTGCTAGGATTTTACAGTGACTGCTTCGCCGCTTGTTACAGGGAACTCGGTTAGTGTTTCTGGGCATAGGTTGTCTGATCTGAGATGGCTACCATATGATTGGTTAGAATTACATTCATCTCTCATGTGATAGTATCAAGCAATGTTTCTTTATCAACAGTGTATTGAAAATTTTCATTCTCTTATCGTTTAAATTTTAGATAAGTCGAAATATCATTGATATGGCCCAGCCCTATTGTGAAACCAGTAACACCAGTTAGCTCAGGTGACTGTATGAAGTAAACTAATTGTAATCAGGTTACATTACATATTTCAAGTAATCCAAAGGGCTACTGATTACATAATTAGTCTTGTAATTTGGAATCTGTACCAAATTACTTTCCTGAAGTAATCACCCAACAGTGGTGTGAGCCCCCCAGTCAGACATCATCAGGTAAAAATGGTAAACATGATCACCTGACTGCACCTGGCGACCATCACAACTTATCCAGTGACAAACGAAAATGCCCTCTTCGCGTTGCATGTGTGGAACTGACACTGATATAAAATGTATACACACATACACTTTGGGCGAATATTTTGATCTGCTGGGATCCAATTACAATGAAGGATCCATCTGGAGGAGCTCGAGGTGTCTGTCTCGCCTTCTGAATAACAGGCCAATTCATGAGGTTCATATGAACAAAGGTTGTGCTATAACACACAAACTAGACTCACCGAGCGAAATGGGACGTTTTTTATGAAAAACCAGTGTGGCCTGGCGAGAGAGGATATCCTGAACTCAGCTCATTGTTTACACGGGCTTCAGGCAGTGCACAGGTCCGTCCCGCGGGCCCTGGCCTCACATTTACACAGCACAGAGCGGAGCTCTTCATCGTACAAAGAAACTGAAAGCCTTTGATTGTGCTGATCAAATCTAAGAGGAGCTGAAGGCTGAACATGTATCATCCTGCCTTGGCAGCTTCTGCAGAGCCAGCAGAACTGCAAAAAACACCTGCGTACTCTGACCTTCATGCCGCATAAACAATGGTGGCGCAAAGGGTTCGAACTTTAAGCTTAGAGATGTGCGTTATATCGGTTAATGTATCGGTATTGAAATTGGTTTAACGTATCAGTCTGGGCCGATATTGCTGCCCGATATTTAAACTCCAGTACTGAAAGTCAGCAGCACCTGAGCTAAAGACCTAACTACTAAAATAATAAAGATAATGACATTAGACGATCAGCCGTTTTCCATAGATGAGGATGAGGGATTTTGTTACCTCATTCACCACTTAGAAGCAGGGTTGCCACTTTGAAATCTGAAGAAATAAGGAATTGTTATTTACTGTCCTGTATTTTTTAACAAGCACATGTACGTGTATTCGGCTTTAAAGGCGTATATGACAATATAAAAAACGACAGGAAAGCCAGAGCACAAAGAAGACGACTTTTACGTTGAATATTGTTAAGCTGAAATATGGACACGCAAGCAAAAAAAAAGGGATTCAATAATGCATTTAATATACTTGGGATACAAAAATATTAACTTTTATTTCAATATAGGTTGCACCGGTGCTTGTGGTCAACCAGTCAGCAAAGTTTATCACTATAAGCCCCACCCTGGTAGTTCTTGGTCGAATAGAAAGAACCTACTCTAGAGTAGAGACTAAAAAAAAGGTCCAGGAACTACTTACGAGGAACTAGTCGGCCCAAGTTCCTGCAATGAATAATTGACAGAAGTTCCTGTATGGCATTCAGTTACTGTCAAAACCCTCGTACATAAAAACCACATGTGCATAGGCCCTAGCGAGCAGAAAACCCATCCTCTCTACGCGCTCGCGTCTGCACAACACTCGCTCGCTTGACAGGTTGAGTTTTGAGACTTTGGAGGCAGGAACAGTGGCTGATTTCACCACTTTGTTGATTGATTACTTTGAATCCTTTGATTGGCTGTTTGCTTTGGAAGAAGAAGATGATCACTGACCAGTCAATGAGAGAACAGCCAGTTTCACACTCTCATGATGTCAGAGCAAAGAAGTCTTACACTAAGTCAACATCTTTCAGAAATCCTATTTTAATATTTTATTATTGCACGTTCGAGGTGGTAATCGGAATAATACATATATGATTCGGAATGTAATTCTTTTGTGATTTGGCCCATGGATTCAAGTGTGAAACACACTGTCGAACCAGGGCAGGACTGCCAGCTTTGACGTGATGCTCTACTGGCTTGGAAGGCCGAACCGAACTTGGAGAAGAACAGAGGAAGCGTTCAGGTTCCAACAGCCTTTCAATATTTACAGGGGGGGAAATGCAAACCAACTCACAGACACAAAAAATCCCAGATTAACACCCATAATCAAGATTTAAAATGGAAAATACAGGCAGTATTTTCTCAGATCAGCACTGCGGCGTAATGATGTTCCAGTAGGAGCTTCTGTACACAAAGCCCCACAGTCTCTTGCTGACTTTCACACCATGAGCAGATGCAGGGGGCGGCATAAGGAACGGTCCGAAAGCTGGCAGCCCGCGGGGGGGTTGGGCTCCCAGACACACAGGCAACGGCACCATGTCCGTATGGACGAGAAACCCACCTGGGCCGCAGACGCGACAGCCATGTGCCCCCCCGGTGAAACAAGCAGAGATTTCCACTCTTTTTGCCAACTCCAACTAAGCCAACATACTAGGAAGTCAGTGCAGTGAGATGATGTAACGTGTTATTCTGATGAAGTACAATCACAGTATAGTGGTCGGGGAAACGCTTGCTGGTTACCAGACGAGGGCTGGGATTGAAACGCAGATTCCTGTGGAGCCACCCAGCCCCTCCCTGACACTGTTTTAATACAGCCAGGGCAATTTGTGCATTTGTTCTGTCCCCCAGCTGCACGCGAGACACTTAATATGCAGGGAATGCTTCAGTACCTTCAGACAGTCCTGGCAGTGTGTCTGCAGCGAATTCAGGCTTAGAAGTGGCTGTTTGTACTTGTTGACAAAATTTATCAAAAGCACCATCACACTTTTGTTAAAAGGCAGATTATTTAAAATCACTCCTCTAAAGACAATTTCCCCATGGGGATCAATAAAGTATCAATTAAATTAACTTTGAAAAGAGATCCTTTCCTAACACATGGAAGGATTCATATTCCTCTTGTAAGCTCATCCCTGGCATGTGCCACAGAGAGCTGAGAGATTGTCTGTTTCATTTGGAGCACACTCCAAAGCCAAAGGTGCGCGCGCGTACACACACACACACACAGACACACACACACACAGACACACACAC